GAATTGATGTAATGGACACTACTAATGAGGGAAAAATAGTTTCCCTCTTCTTATTCTCTCTTCTCTGTACTAGATAGCAGATTTTTATTTATTTAGTATTTGCAATCAATTGTATTTATTTTCTTTTTGACGCTAAAACTGCCCTAAATTTGGCCTGTGGGAGATCCTTCAAGCTGGCTCCCATGTCTCTAAAATTTATTTTTGAGAGACTGAAAATACAAACGGAAAATCGCCAGAATATACATAAAAGCAGAATTCTGACCCATTACCTGCAACAACTAGCCCAGTAAACCAACCACCTATCTACCATAAGTGCTGTCCTCCCAGCCTGAAAGCCAAACCTGCTATCAACCAGACTTGTAGGAAATCAGACTCTATCTCTGGTATCTCTGGATTGCTATCTCTGGTAGCAATTCAGGAAGCTAAATAATAACTTCTATGACAATCAGCTCAAAATGGCCAGGACTTGATTAAAAATTGACAGCTTCCCTAATTTTTGTCCCCATTTCTAGCTTATGACCATTCACAGAAAACCAAATATCCTCCTTTAACCAAGCCCATAGGATGCCAACTTGTAGTTAGCTTCCAGCTTCCCCATGCCAACAGCTTCCGATCAGGCATACCTGTGAAACCTTTCCTTTTGTCCACTGTAAAGCTTTCCCACTCCTCTGCATGCCTTTGAACCTCTGCCAAAACATAAGGGATGGCGGCTGACTCCCTTGCTATGGCAAGTTCTCAACAGACTTTGCTTTTCTCATTTGGTTTGCAATAAAATGCATCCTTTATAGTGACACAATTTGATGAATTTTGACAGATGTATACATCCCCGTTAACCATGACACAGAACATTTCCATCACCCCCAAAAGTTCTCCCATTTTCCTTTCCAGTCAATTCCTTCTCTCTTCCCCTCCTAGTCAACCACTGATATGCTGTCTTTCACTATGGATTAGTTTTGTTTGTTCTCCTAAATACAGCTGGCATAGCCTCATTGGTCTAAGCACTTCCTTTGCATTCAGGCACAGTGAAATACCTGGCTCATCTTGTACTTTTCCCATCCCAGAGCTGGAATCAGCCAATTCTCCAAAGGAGCTCTGGATCTTTTTAGTGGGAAATGGAATTTAGAAACCAAGATCTGGGTGTTAGATGTGCTCACTGTTACTGTAGGGTGACCATGCCTGTACATCCTGGTTCACCTGGGACTCTTCCAGTTTTAACCGAAAGTCCAGCACCCAGAGAAAACCCCTCTGTCTGTGGCAAACTGGAACAACTGGTCACCCAAGTGCTTCTAGGCCCTTTCAGTCCACAGAACTAGGACATTATTTTTTTTTTGCAGTTTAACTTTTTTTTCCTTTTTCTTTTCTTTTTGATAGGGTCTATTGCCCAAGCTGGAGTGCAATGGTGATATCACAGCTCACTGTAACTTTAAACTCCTGGGTTCAATTGGGCCCCTCGCCTTAGCCTCCCAAGTAGCTAGGCCTATAGGCCCAGGCTACCACCCCTGGCTATTTTATTATTTTGTATTTTGTAGAGACAAGATCTCACGTGTTGCCCAGGCTGGTCTTGAACTCCTAGGCCACTCTGGCTTCCCAAAGCACTGGGATTCAAGGTATGTGCCACTGCACCCAGCCCTCCAGTTTAAACTCGATATTACAGACTTTTTTTTTCTGAACTTCTTAAAATTCTTTTTTTTTTTTTTTTTGAGACGGAGTCTCGCTCTGTCGCCCAGGCTGGAGCACAGTGGCTGGATCTCAGCTCACTGCAAGCTCCGCCTCCCGGGTTTACGCCATTCTCCTGCCTCAGCCTCCTGAGTAGCTGGGACTACAGGCGCCCGCCACCTCGCCCGGCTAGTTTTTTGTATTTTTTTAGTAGAGACGGGGTTTCACCGTGTTAGCCAGGATGGTCTCGATCTCCTGACCTCGTGATCCGCCCATCTTGGCCTCCCAAAGTGCTGAGATTACAGGCTTGAGCCACTGCGCCCGGCCTAAAATTCTTTATATTAGTTTTCTTCCCCCCGAGGATCAATGAACTTCTTAAAAATTGTTTTAAATTTTTTTAAAAAGGAGACAGATCTCGCTACGTTGCCCAGGCTGGTCTTAAACTCCTGGACTCTTACGATCTTCCCACCTTGGCCTACCAAAGTGCTGGGATTACAGGCATCAGACACCCAGCCCTTTTCTGAACTTCTTTGATCTTGCATTTGTATCTCATTTTCTCATACACTGCAAGTCTTTATACACAGTAACATTAAAATACTTATGTTATCCTACCATATGCAGTACAGTTTCAAAACCACAGTAACAATGTTACCATTAATCATAAATTAGTGAAGCTGAAAGCTCCTTTGCGCTTTTTTCATTCTTAGGATACACAGTTGACCCTTGAATAACACTAGTTTGAACTGCCAGGGTCCACTTATATGTGGATTTCTTTTTACCCAAACACAGTGGGGCCAGGGACGGTGACTCACACCTACAATCCTGGCATTTTAGGAGGCTAGGTGGGAGGATCACTTGAGCCCAGGAGTTCAAGATCAGCCTAAGCAACACAGCGCTCTACAAAAAAACAGAAAAAAATTACCTAGATATGGTGGCACATGCCTGTGGTCCCAGCTACTCGGGAGGCTGAGATGGAAGGACTGCTTGAGCCCAGGAAGTCAAAGCTGTAGTGAGCCATGATCGTACCACTGCACTCCAGCCTGGATGACAGTCAGACCCTGTTCTCAAAAAAGAAAAAAAAAGAAAAGCAAGGGAAGGAAAGGAAGAAAGGGAAGGAGGGAGGGAGAGAGGGAGGGAGGGAAGGAGGGCGGGAAGAAGAGAGGGAGAGAAAGAAAAAAGAAAAGAAATGAAAGAGAAGGAAGGAAGAAAACAAAGCAGAAGTACAGCAGGATGCAAAACACGCCTATACAAAGAACCAACTTTCCCTATGCTCAGGTCTGGGACTTTAGTATGCAGATTTCTGTATAGGCTCCCAGAAGGTCCTAGATGCAATCTCCTGCATATAAGGAAAGACTACACTATCTCAACACAGATACACTACTAGAGTACTGTGTTCAAAAGCTGGGAGGCGCCAGTGGTGGTGGCTCACGCCTGTAATCCCAGCACTCTGGGAGACCAAGGCAGGCAGATCACCTGAGGTCAGGAGTTTGAGACCAGTCTGGCCAACATGGTGAAACCCCATCTCTACTAAAAATACAAAAATCAGCAGGGGATGATGGCACATGCCTATAATCCCAGCTACTCAGGAGGCTGAGGTGGGAGAATCACTTGAACCCAGGAGGCAGAGGTTGCAGTGAGCTGAGATTACACCACTGCACTCCAGCCTGGGCAACACAGTGAGACTGTCTCAAAAAAAAAAAAAAAAAAGCCCCAAAGAATAATTATTTTTTCTGTGTATCGCTAGTTGTATTGGTTAAGTTCATTTGTTTCTATTTGCTTTCAACCTTAGGATTTATTTTGCTTTCTTTTTTATTTACTTTTTGGCTATGTAAAACGAAAAATTCAAAGTAGAGAAGTCTTGTCTCCCCTCCACTCTTTCCCACCACTCTTTATAGGTAACTATTTTAAGTTTCAAGGATATCCTTCCAATTCCTCCCCCAAAATAAGTATATATATATAAATATTCATATTATATTTTTTTATATATTTAAGTAAATAAAAGCATATATGCTTATTTTTGCTTTTGAATAAAGTGAATACTTAATATACTTAAGTATTTAAGTGAATACTTGATATAACCTGAGACTCATTTCAAAGCAACACGATTATTTTATGAATCTTTTTAATGGCTGCACTGTATTCTACTGTATGGATGCACCATTCCTAATCAGTTCTCTATTAATGGATATTTGGGTTATCCCTAACTTTTGCTATGACAACACTGCAATAACCTTGTGTACCTATTGTTTCCACGTGTGGAGCTGTACCTTCAGAATAAGGTTAGGATTAGAAGTATAACTTCAAAGTATAAGAAAAAACAAGTAATTTTGAACTCGACAGAACTTGAACCATTTTTCCATTCCCACCAGGAAAGGCAATTTCAATGTGTATTTATTTCCATTTTAAGTGAGGTGGAGCGACTTTCTATGTTCATGAGGAACATAGAATTACATAGAACATAAAAAATGACTGTATTTTTTCTGAGAATCATCTGTTCATGTGCTTCCCCATTTTCCCCTTTGGCTTTTGGACTTTTTGTTTTCAATTTTTCAGAGCTCTTGTGATACAAGTTGCAAAGATTTTCTCCAGACTGATCTGATTCACTGGGAACACACTATGGCCATCTAGAATGTACTTTAATCTTATCCTAATAGATCACCCTACTACAAGACACTCCTTTGGGGATGAACAGGTTCGAGAAAGCCGGCTAAGGACAGACCAATCAAAAGAACTACGTGCTCCTCTAGTAAGTGTTTAGAGACTGCTTCTCCAGGTAACACCGCCCTTACTCGGCGGTCCAGATGGCAGTCTTGCTTCAGGGAGTCTACTCCACTTGCAGGACCTCTTTGGTTGGGTTCACTAAACCTCACAGGGCCGCCTTCCCCACGTTCAAGTTAGCAAGCAGCCCTCAGCGCCGCCGACACAGCGCAACCTCCGACGCCAGAGAACAATAGCTCCTTGATGCGTCTCCAGAGATGTCAAGGAGGAACGAACCCAGCGGCCAGAAGGCTGCGCCTCACGACTGAAGAGAGGGAGGATATCGGATTCTAAGTTCCCAAAACTTACAGGTGAGCTTCTGCTAAGAGCAAAGGCTCGCGGCTCGCCGCCCACCGCTTCTCTCCTGAGGTGGCACCTGGTTCTCCGGCACGCGGAAGCATCACGAATGAGCGTCGCGAACACAAAGCGGCCAATCACGCGCCGCCTTCGCCGAGATCCCTCCGCACGAGGCCGCCCCCGCAGCCGCAGGTGGCCCCGGCGAGTACGTCCACCTTCCCTTCCCGTGATGCCCCGGGGCTGACCTCCGACCTCGCTGGCCCGCCCCTCCCTTCGGCCGCTTCCCTTACCGCGCTAGCTGAGCTCCGGCGCCCGCGGAGCTCGCGCCAGGCTCCTGGGAAAGGACGGGGCGTATTACCGGGGAGCAGCTGCTCCATTGCGCCTCGAGGCCCCGATCGGGCTAGGCTGGCGGCCTCCCTCCCTTCACCTTTCCTCTCCTGGCAGGGCCCGGCGGCAGGCGAGTGACTGCGGCCACGCCTGAAAGGCGACTCTTCTGTGAGTGGGCCAGAACGCGAACATGGCGGAGCGGGGAGGCTGGCGGGAGGCGGGAGGCAGTGGCGCTGGCCTGCGGCGAGTTTGGGCCGGCTGTGGGGCGGGGCAGGGCGGAGCGGAGCCCGGTGGCGGGGCGGGGCCGGGCGGCGGGTCCTGGTTTCCTCCCTCAGCGCCATTTTGTGGCAGCGAGACCCACAAATAAAGGGGAGCGCTGGGGTTGCGGCGGGACTAGGAGTGCGGCGGGGCAGGCGCCAGAGCTGTCCGGCTGCGCGGGGGCCCGGGGGGCCCGGGCGGCAGGGCAAGCAGCGCGGCCTCGGCCTATGCGACTGGCGGCGCCGGCGCGGCTTCTGCCTGAAGAGGTAGGTGCGGGCCGGCTGGCGGGAGCGGCCGCGGGGGACCTCCGGGGCTGAGGGTTGGGGCGCAGCCGCCCCCGGCCGGTAAGGGACTGGCAGGGCCCGAAAGGCCACTCGGGCCCGGCGCAGCACCAGTCTCGTTACCCGCTCTACCTTCCCGCCAGCGGGGAACACTTCCGCCGCGTCGAGGCCATTTTATCTCCGTCCTCCGTCCCCAGGGCCCGGGGTGAGAGGGGTGCTCCGGCGGCCGGAGAGACCGGCCACTCACGGAGGTCGGAGGATGCCCTCCCCGGGCTGAGCGGCGGCGCTCGTTTTTTCCTCACCTCGGTGTTGCTCCCTCCACCTCCCTTGGGCCTCTTCCCGAGTTGAGCAAGGAAAAAAAGAAACGTTCGTTCCCTACATTTCATGTCACGCAGTAGGATGTTACTGCAGCTACGTTCTCTTGTAGACTTCCATTTTTAAATGAGTGCATGCATTCTGAGGAAAGAAACTGAATTATTTGCAGATTTTTGTGAAATCCAAGTCTTACGTTGGATCCCTGTGAGACAGTTACTACATTATTTTTTTAACCTTTTTTCATAAGTCAGTGTACACGTAGTGGAAAAGGCCAAGTTCTTGTTTTGATAAGGAAGTCACTTGGTTGGTTGATCCCGAAGGACTAGCTTAACATTATCAAGGACTAGCATAGCTGATTATGTAAAAAAAAAAAACAAAAAACTGTTTAGTTTGGTAGGGAAATACTTCGATTAGTATATTACAGTTAGAAGTTGTGTTTGTGCCTATTTTATCTAGTTTTAGTTAATTCCATTGCTTCGGAAGATAAGTGGACATCATAGATCCATCACAAGGTCTCGTTTTTTGGATTTTAAAATTTTGACCATTAAGTTTTCTACGATAAACATGTTGTGGTCATTTAAAACCGTAATTTAAAATTATGAGCGAAAAATCTTTTCAAGGTGGATACATTGTAATTCATTCAAGTAGCATCTGATTAGGCAAGTCCGCAGGTTGGCTTGTGATAAGGTTGAGGTTACATTTTACAGGTTTGGATAGGTGTGTTTCTTACAGTGCTTTTAGATCTTAAGGTATCTTAAGCAGACACTTAGTTTAAAAGTTCAGTATTTTTAGTACTTTTTCAGTGGCAGAATTTGTACAAGCTACCAGAATGTCTAACTCCTAAAGGATAAAAGTAATAATAATAGGGTGTCCCAGGCACAGCTTATTTTTACATGGCTCTTTTATGTGTAGCTTTTCCAATTCAACGTTGAGTCATGTTTGCTGAAAATATTTTCGTGTATTGTTTGTCAGAAATAAGCTGGTAGAGATGAAACAGAAAATATGTAAAAGCCCTATGATGTGGAGATGAGCATTGTCAAAATTTGTACAGTACTGTAAAGCGTTCAAGGTCCCCTGTGGTCTTGTATGTAGTATTGAATCCCCTTGAATATATTGTTTAGCAGTTTAGATCATTATATATTTGTTTCTTGCTCGTCAAAATTGTGTTAGTAGGTCCTTCAGCAAAACAAGACTAAGATAGTGTTTTTAATTTTTTTAGTTGTCTCCAACTTTCTGCCTCTAAATATTTTGTTTCTTGTAGTTACTAAGCTTAACACAGAAAAACTTTTCAGTATCTCCACAATAGTATACTTCATTGTGTATAACGGTATTCCATCTAACTAGAATATAGTGCTATAAATATTTTCTGCCTTTGAAGATACAGTTAGTAGAATTTAATCTTTTCTAGGTGCACATTGAAGTTGCCTTTTATGTTCATATTATGTTCATATTTTGTTTGAAAAATCTATTTGTAGCATTTTTATTGTGCTGAAAGCATTAATATTTGCAGCACTTTGTGAGGCAGGCAAAATTATCTTTTTGCTGACTTGAAACTGCAAGAGTTAAAAGACTTGCTTGGACTCACATACGGCAGATAGAGGGTAAGGAAAAGATGGCCTTTCAGTTCCTCATCAGTACCTTGCTCCTACAGTGTCTGAAGATTGATTTCTTACATTCAGCTATGATTTGTTTCACCAGGGTACTGTGTCTTCTTACTAAAATTGTGTTGGCTGCGCTTGCCTCTGTTCAGAGGGAACTGAGTTACCTAACTTTATGATGCTGAGAGCCAGGAAGGTACTGGGATCTGGGATGTTAGGCACCTAACCAGTCAAGACTGAACTCCATACTAAGCTGTTTTTCTATGTTAAGGCATCAAGAGTAGATGGTTGTCCTGATATTCTGAGATATATTATCTCTGAATTATCTACATAAATAACTGAAACCTTTTTGTGTTATAAAACTAGTCAGTCATGTTACCACCTTTTTGGGTGGCACCAAATTTGAGACCCTTACCCCAATTTATTAATAGTTGTTTTAATCACTTAATAGCTAATCACCTAATGACTCACAGTCATTTTCATCCTGGAAAATGGGAACTAACTTTGACTTTGAAAAGTGCTGTTATTCAATGTGTGACTCATAAGAACTGAGCATATTTTATTATTTTCCTTCAGGATTCAATTTTAATTGACTCCAAATGATGTTATGGTCATTCTGTTTTTCTGATGTGACAGTAGATTGTTCTAAAAACCTGGAATATTCATTGTCTTTATGAATCTAGAATTGACTTTAAATGGTAATTGTTTTTGTCATTTGCGCTAAAAAAAAAAAAAAAAAAAATTGCCCTGGGGAATACCAAACTTCTCAGTACATTCTTGTGGTGTGAAAGTCAAAATTGCCAATTAGGTTCTGTTTTGACCAAATAGTTGAATGTTGTTAGATAGTTGTAAATTTTGAACCTGTTCTAATTTGATTTTGCCAGATGGTGCATTTAACTTTGTGACATATCATGGACTTTCAAGGAACGATTTACTTTTCATCAGATTAAAGTTGAGAAAGGATTTTCTTTCTAAATGCCGAGGCTCTGAATTTCCCAAGTTGGATACCCCAAACAGCTGGAGTGATCTTAAAAGTCACTCTGAGAATTGACTTAGGAAGCATACACATTTATCCAAAACCTGTATTTACTCCTGACTTACATTACAAATACAGAATTTTATTTTTAGAGAAAATTTCAGTAAAAATCTCCATTTAATTAAAATCTACTTAACATCAAACTTTTTAAAAAGAATGTAAGCCAATGTCAAGTTCGAGACCAGCCTGGCCAACATAGTGAAATAATGTCTCTACTTAAAAAAAAAAATACAAAAATTAGCTGGGCATGGTGGCGTACGCCTGTAGTCCCAGCTCCACAGGAGGCTGAGGCAGTAGAGTCGCCTGAACCCAGGAGGCGGAGGTTGCAGTGAGCCAAGGTCATACCCCTGCACTCCATCCTGGGCAACAGAGAGAGACTCCGTCTCAAAACAAAAAAAAAGAAAAGAAATTTCAATAACTGTAGGCTGGGCATGGTGGCTCACAACTGTATTTCCAGCACTTTTGGAGGTCCAAACAGGAGGATCACTTGAGCCCAGGAGTTCAAGACCAGCCTGGGCAACATAGCAAGACCTCATCTCTACTAACAAGAAAAAAAAATTAACTGGGCGTGGTGGTGCACACCTGTGATCCCAGCTACACAGGAGGCTGAGGCAAGAGAATCAGTTGAGCCCAAGAGATAGAGGCTGCAGTGACACATAATCGAGTCACACTGCACTCCAGCCTGGATGACAGAGTGAGACACTGTCTCAAAGAAAGAAAGAGAAAAAGAAAATTTAAGTAACTTCTGTTTAGAATTCTAAATATTGGAGATGCCAAGAATTCCGCAGTAAGTGTTAGAAACAGTCAGGATGACAGTATGACTATTATCTGCAATCTGTGAATTATCTTTTCAGGTGTTTCAAGAAACACTGAGTCTGTGTTTTTGATGGGGAGAAGGAAACTAATAATGAAATGCCCATTTTGTTCCAGTTACCATGCCAAAGATTAATGTCTGTCTTCAGAAATAGCACAGTATTTGGACCCTGGTTGCAGTAATTCTCTTTGAGGTGGGGAAACTGAGGTGCAGAGATTTTGCTACTTTTGTATTTGCAAAGTTGACAGCCTGTTTTAGAATACCAAGGTTATCAGAACTGTCTTCATGTGTTTCTCAGTCCTTTTAATGCCCTTTAAAAACAGATTATCATCTCATTGCTAACTAAGCTTACAGTTAATTTTATTTTAATGGAATAAGAATATGGATACCTGTCTTTAAGAAGAGGGTAAGCAAGTAAACTTTATGAAGAAGCAAGTAAACTTTAAGAAGAGAGTAAGCAAGTAACTTTATGATGCTGAGAGCCGGAAGGTAGTGGGATCCGGGAAGTATCAGGTTGTAGAAATATACGCAGACAATCCTTGCCAAAATCCTGGCAGAGGAATTTGAACCCTGGTGTATGAAAAGTCTGCCCTTTGCATACTCAGGTTTCGCATGCCATGAATGCTGTATTTTTGATCCGCGTACTGTATATTTTATCTGAGTTTGATTGAAAAAGATCCACATATAAGTGGACCCATACAGCTAAAACCTGGGTTGTTTAAGGGCCAACTATAATAACTTTCATAAACTGGAATTTATATTGAATAACATCAATGATACTTTAGTATTACAACTAAAATTGTACATACTGAGTAGGTAGGGTACCAAGTAACTAGATAAAAGGTATACCACCTAGCCTTAGTGATATATACAGCTGTTTTCAAACTGTCACTCTCTTACCACAGTACCTGTTATATGAAGTTCCTGGTTGGTTCTCAAAATTTTGTGTTTGCATATACATAGATACAGATACTGATATACTGGTTAAATATGTACAGCTAAAATAGCTAAAATTGTCTTTTAAGATTTTTTAAATTAAAAATATTGGCCCGCAGGCCTCCACGCCTGAATCCCAACACTTTGGGAGGCAAGGCAGGCGATCACCTGAGGTCAGGAGTTCGAGACCAGACTGGGTCAACATGGTGAACCTAAAAATACAAAAATGATAGCTGAAAGTGGTGGTGGGCCCCTGTAATCTCACTACTCAGGAGGCTGAGGCAGGAAAATCGCTTGAACCCAGAACTGCGGAGGTTGCAGTGAGCCGAGATCGCACCATTGCACTCCAGCCTGGGCAACAAAGACCCCAGGTGAGTGGGTGTGTATGTATGTGTGTGTGTGTGTAAAATTAATATTCCGCTCTAGAAAAATACAAGGAAATGCCATTTTTGATATCTGAGTTCTAAGACTTCGCAGTCTAATGGAAGGTGGATGCACTGCTGCAAATAGAAGAGTTAGACGTGTGGATTAAATATGTGATGTTTCAGAGATAAAATGTACACTGCACCAGTTAAAAGTAGTTACAGAAGCAGCTTTCTATAAATAGCAGCAGAGATTATAAAACTGGGCAACCAAGGATCATAAAGTAGCAGGGAACAATTTAAAGAAAAATACACTTTTTTCACCGTCCGGTGTTATGTCTTCATAGGAACAAGTGACTTGCTCAGTGAAACAGACGTATACTAACATTAGCTCAGAAAACCACAAATAAATATTACTAGAGTTTATCAGTTTACTATATCCTTGAGAAAGATTCAACAGAGGGAAGGCAGGGTGCAGGGCTCACACCTGTAATCCAGCACTTGGAAGGCAGAGGCAGTGATGCTTTTGAGCCCCAGGAGGTTACGATACCAGCCTGGGCGCATGGTGAAACTCCCGTCTCTACCAAAGAAGTACAAAAATTACGATGTGTGGGCACATGCCTGTTAGTCCCGGTACTCACGGATGGACTGAGCTGGGAGGAGATCACTGGAGCCTGGGAGTCCAAGATGCAGGAGCCATGATCGCACCACTGGAACTCTGTCTGGGTGACACGAGCAAGGACTGTCTTAAAAAAAAAAAGCCTGGCCAGTGGCTCACACCTGTAGTCCCAGCCACTTTTGGGAGGCGGGTGGCAGATCACCTGAGTCCGGGATTCAGGACCAACCTTACCAACATGGAGCAAACCTGGTCTCTACTAAAAATACAAAAAATTAGCCCGCGTGGTGGCCGCAATGCCTGCTAATCCCAAGCACTACTTGGGAGGCTGACGAGGCGAGAATCACTTGAACCCAGGAGTGTGGAGGTGCGGGACCAAGATTGCGCCATTGTACTCGTCACCTGTGCGAACAAGAGTGAAACTCCATCTCCAAAAAAAAGAAAAAAGAGGAGAGACAGAAGCCACAGCCAGTAACCTAGATCAATTTATGATTTTTTCCTCTGAATTCTGCTTTCTTCAACACAATTTACTTAATCTGAAAACCAGGATTTAATAACAGTATGTTTAGAATGTTTCATTTATAAAGTAGAGTTGAGATTGTACATAGTATAAAAAATGCTGTTGGAAGGTTATCTCCTTTTGAGGAATCTCAAAATCAAGTGGGAGAAATCAAGTAGTTTTGGTGTGTGTGTGTTTTGTTTGTTTTAATGAGAGACAGGGTCTTACCACATTGCCCAGGCTCGTTTCAAACTCCTAGGCTCAAGCAGCTCTCCTGCCCCAGCCTCCCAAAATGTTGGGATTGCAGGTGTTAGCCACCACACCAGCCTCAAGTAGCTTTCGAGATAGCGCCACGGCACTCCAGCCTGGCAACAGAGTGAGACTCCATCTCAGGGAAAAAAAAAAAAAAAATTCAGTTTAACATACCAAGCTTTTGGTCAAAGTTCTAGTAGTTTAGAATTTATAGTAAGTATGGGTAAGTAAAATAAACCATAAATACTGTAAAGTAAGGGAACATTCGTGACTGTGCTATTAGAAATAATAACTAGGGCTGGGCATGATCCTTGCATGTATAGTCTTAGCTACTTGGGAGCCTGAGGTGAGAAGATGACTTAAGAGTTCAAGACTGGTCGGGCGCGGTGGCTCAACCCTGTAATCCCAGCACTTTGGGAGGCCGAGGCGGGTGGATCACAAGGTCAGGAGATCGAGACCATCCTGGCTAACATGGTGAAACCCCGTCTCTACTAAAAATACAAAAAACTAGCCGGGCGTGGTGGCGGGCGCCTGTAGTCCCAGCTACTCGGAGGCTGAGGCAGGAGAATGGCGTAAACCCGGGAGTCGGAGCTTGCAGTGAGCCGAGATCGCGCCACTGCACTCCAGCCTGGGTGACACAGCGAGACTCCGTCTCAAAAAAAAAAAAAAAAAAAAAAGAGTTCAAGACTATCCTGGGCACTCTGGTGGGTCCCTATCTCTTAAGAAAGAAAGAATGAGAATAACTAGTGTAAGAACTAATTTCTTAATTTGTATAAATTATTAATATGCCGATTGCAATTTAGATGCTTTTTCAAAAGATCACTGGTACTCAGAACCTGATTCAATTTTTTAATCCTCATAGAATTTTTATATAAAGATTTTACGTTTGTCAGGTTAGCGCTTCATGTTGTATGCTTCTTTTTTCCAACCTTGTATTTTAATGTGATGCTTAAGGTACGTTTATTACACATTTTTTCTTTGTCTTTTTTTATTGTGTGGATTTGTAGAGTTTAATGAATAATAGCTGCTATTAGCATTCATTCTAAAAAATAGCATAATAAAGTGTTCTCTACTTGAATTCATTAACCTATCTTTGAAATGGGGTTAAGTGAATTTTGTATAATAAAGCTAATTTTGAGATGCAAAATATTTGGCATAAAATTAAATACTGTAGGAATATTTTTATTAAGGTGTGACATACCCGTGTATGTGAATTTTTGTTGTTTGTTTGTTTGAGATGGAGTCTCTGTTGCCCAGGCTGGAATGCAGTGGTGTGCCATCTCGGCTCACTGCAACCTCCACCTCCTGGGTTCGGGCAATTCTCCTGCCTCAGTCTCCCTAGTAGCTGGGATTATAGGTGTGTGCCACTACTCCCAGCTAATTTTTTTGTTTTTAGTAGAGACCGGGTTTCACCATGTTGGCCAGGCTTGTCTTGAACCTCTGACCTCAAGTGATCCACCCACCAGCCTCCCAAAATGCTGGGATTACAGGCGTGAGCCATCACACCCAGCATATACATATATTTCAAAATATAGGCCGGGCATGGTGACTCATGCCTGTAATCCTAGCACTTTGGGAGGCCAAGGCCGGCAGATCGCAAGGTCAGAAGTTCGAGACCAGCCTAACCAACAGGGTGAAACCCCATCTCTACTAAAAATACAAAAACTAGCCAGGTATGGTGGCTCGCACCTGTAGTCCCAGCTACTTGCGGGGCCGAGGCAAGAGAATTGCTTGAACCCAGGAGGCGGAGGTTGCAGTGAGCCGAGATAGCACCACTGCACTTCATCCTGGGCGACACAGTGAGACTGTGTCTCAAAAAAATAAAAATATATAATATATCTAAAAAAAAACTATTGGGCAGTAGTAAATTATGACTGTGGTAGGTACTGCTTTGCTTTAACAACCTAATGCTATAAAAGGAAGACTTAAGCTGGTATTACCCTTTAATAGCCCCTTAGCAACATGGCTAGGATACTACTTGAGGTCAGTATCACGTCTGTGACGAGACTTCATAGGGGGATTGTAATAGTGTGATGAGAAATTATATTTCTCTTGACCCTTTATGGCGACATCAAATGATTTGAATGGCTGATCAGCTTTTTTATGAGGGAATTTGTAAAAACTACCCAATAACTATAATAATGGAAGATGTTAACAGAGGAAGATCTGGGTATAGAGTATATAGGAACTCTGTAATATCTTTGCCACTTTTTGTAAATCTAAAACTATTTTTAAATTATTTAAATTGTAATTACTCGACAGTAATTTAGTTCACTAATTGATTTGAAAGAGTCAGTATTTTTTGTTCCTACTTTCACTGGAAGAAAATCAATTGAACTTGTTTTCCTCAACTTTTTTTTTAGGATTCAAGATGACCAACGAAGAACCTCTTCCCAAGAAGGTATGGGTTTTGGTTTTGGGTTTTTTGTTTTGTTTTGTTTTGGGTTCTGTTTTGTTTTTTTAAGCAGTTGTAAGCACTTTTTAAAAAAAATAGACTTGAAGGATTATCATTGTTTGCTTATTTCTCATTTCTTTGACTTTATAACAATAATAGCATTGGAGTTGTACAATGTGCTAGATATTGTATCTTATATCCAGTATATTTTTAGAATATTTTCAGATTTTGGAAAACTTTAGTTATAATAATATTCCCATGGTCTACTCTTAACGTTCATTATGTGAATATTTCCAGCTACATATATACAAATGACATCAAAAATGGAAATCATGAGTATATTATTCTTTTCCTAGTGTAAATCCCTTTGATTAAAATTAAAAACTACTTTATTTTTAAAAAATGGTTATAGCTAGTTTTCAAATTCTACTTTTTTCTCTGAAATTTTGTTGTCTAGTCTCAATCTCTCCCTGCTGTGCATTCCTACCTCGAGCTTACTCTTACATACACACACAGTGGACGTTATAAAAGAGCAACATAGTCTGTAGGAGGAATTTGTGATTCAATTGGGAAAGCAGGGCATGTGCTTAACTAAACTGAATATTTAAGTGAATAGATACTACAGAAGTTTCCTGTTGTGGAGTGAAATTACTCATAAAATGAGTAAAGGATTGTACTATACTTTCATAATCTGAGAATTACTATGTGTTCCCTCTGGTAGCCTTTGATTTTCCTCCCTTGGAACAGGGTCTTGCTCTGTTGCCCAGGCTGGAGTGCAGTGGTGCAGTCTCAGCTCACTGCAGTCTCCGCCTCCTGGGCTCAAGTGATCATCCCACCTCAGCCTCCTGAGTATCTGGGGACTACAAGTACGTGCCACCACACCCAGCTAATTTTTGTGTTTCTTGTAGAGATGGGGTTTTGCCATGTTGCCCAGGCTGGTCTCGAACTCCTGGGTTCAAGAGATAGCCACCTGCCTCTACTTTCCAAAGTGCTGGAATAATAAGCGTGAGCTGCCTTTGGCAGCCTTTTAATATATTACACTACGATAGTCTCCCCCATTCTATTTTATGGTAATACTATTTTACTGGTTAGTATTATAATTTGAAACATTTTTAAGGAAAAAAATTTAAGTGAAATAAGGAAAATACTAATAAAATAAGGAAATACTAATAAAGCCTTTATTTTCTTTTTATTTTTTATTTTCTGAGACAGGGTCTCACTCTGTCGCACATGCTGGAGTACAGTCGTACAATCTTGGCTCATTGTGGCCTCATACCCCAGCTTATGCAATCCTCCCACCTCTGCCCCCCAAAGTAGCTCAGACTACAGGTGTGCTGCTACGCCTGACTAATTTTTGTATTTTTTGGTAGAGATGGAGTTTTGCCATGTTACCTAGGCTGATCTTGAACTCCTGAGTTTCAAGATATCCTCCTGCCTCAATCTCCCAAAGTGCAGGAGGCATGAGCCACAATGCCCACCAAAGCCTTAATTTTATACTGAAGTAGGAGAGGTATCTCACCTTTACAGCCTTTATTTGGTATAGTGAATATACTGTTTCTTAATTTTTGAAGCATGTCAGCTTATGCCCTTCTTTCAACTTTTTGTTTTCAAATAATTATAGATTCACAGGAAGTTGCAAATAAATGTCCAGAGAGGTTCTGTGCAGCTTTCACTGAGCCTCCTTCATTGTTAACATCTTGCATGACTAGCAGACATCTCTAATAACTGAAAATCAGGGAACTGACATTGGTACAATCCACAGAGCTTATGCACATTTCACGTTATACTTGTACTGTTTGTGGGGGGAGTGGGGAAGAGCTATATGCAATTTTATCATGTCTAGCTTTGTGTAACCATCATTAATCGAGATACATATCTGAACTATTAGCATAAAACTTCATTGAGTTATTCTTTTGTAGCCACATCTACCCCCTCCCTCCCCATGCCTGACCCCTGGCAACCACTAGTTTATCTCTATTTCTATAATTGTTATTTCAGAGTGTTTATATAAACGACATCATGTAGTGTATATCTTTTTGAGACCATTTTACATTCTCACCTGCAGTGTAGGAAACTTCAATTTCTCTGAATCCTCACCAGCATTTGGTGTTGCCGCTAATTTTTATTTTAGCCATTCTAATCAGTGTGTGGTGATACTTGGGATTTTAATGTGCATATTCCTAATGATGATGCCCATTGTTAAGATAACAAATAGTTTACCTTAAAAAAAAAAAAAAAACTTTTGTAATCAAATAATTTTTTTTTAGTGATAAGTATGTACTGAGCTGTTTAAATCTCACACTCAGGAGATGTTTCATAGGTCTCATAGAGCTTTGTGTCTTCAGGAAGATCACTCAATTCATATTGTAATTCTCTTTATAGGTTCGACTGAGTGAAACAGACTTCAAAGTTATGGCAAGAGATGAGTTAATTCTAAGGTAAAATGTTATTTGTTCAAAAATAAAATCTTTGTATAGAACATTGTATTATGCCTCTACACTGTAATTGTCTTTGTGCCAGATACTGTTTTTAATGTTGTTACATCCTCAAATAATTGAATGTACTTTTTGAACATACTATGACCTATTTCTTATATTAACACTGAGGAAAACGTAACACTTTAGAGAACTACTAGGAAGCTATAAGTTTAACAAATATATGGCTTGTTTTGTGTAGTTTTTTTTTTCGTGTTTAACATTTGAAAAAAAAAGTAATCCTAAAAGATAAACTTATATTTGTGGAAGAAATACATAATTTACTAATAAAGTGAGGTTACTTTTTCTTATTAGCGTGACCAGCTCATTTAACTTCATACTCTTCATTTTCTCATCTGTAAGTTGAAGGGGTTGGGTTAAGTTATTTTTAAAGGTGACTTCCAGTTCTGAATTTCTGTGGTTATCTTATAAATGTCTTACAAAAGCAGATTGTCAGGTACAGCATATAATCTTTATAGATTGTGTAAGAAATCAGGAAGTAGGATGTTCTATGTTTTATAGCTTTGATAACTTTTAGATAAAAATAAAATGAGTATTTTAACAAGCTGAAAGCCGGGGAGAGAAAAGATGTTTTGTGAGATAGAGTAACAGATTTTGTTGTTTCCTACAGTGTGACAATTTCCTACTTTGACCTTTGCACAGCTACTGTATTATGAACACTTTATCTTTTTTTTTTTTTTTTTTTTTTGCCATAATCTCATACATAGGACAGTTTCCATTGCATACCTTTGTCTTCTTGCACATAAAATTTAAATTGTTGGTGTTCTAAAACACTCTGTCTTACGCTGAAGTAGATACTTAAGATACACTACTACTCAATGCTGGGTTTTTTGTTTGTTTATTTAACTATTAAAACAACAACACATATGTTAAAACAACATATTTACATATATATAATGTACATATAAATTATAATAGAGGTGAGGTGTTGCTCAGGCTAGTCTTGAACGCCTGGCCTGAAGTGATTCTCTCACCTTGGCCTCCTGAAGTGCTGGAATTACAGGCATGGGCCACCATGCCCGGCCATGATTTTTTTTTTCCCCTACCTCTGGCATTGTACACTTCTTTTTATGCCTTCTTACATAATTGCTCTGGTTAGTCTTTGCAGTCATTTTCTTGATTTAACTGTAGGAGGGGAAAAGTCAGTAATCTTAATAAAGAATCATAGAAATGTTGTATTTTAAGATACCTTTAAGGTTTCTAAATTATATGCAGTGTATTACCTTGCAGTCAGTTTAACATCTTTCCTTAGGGAATTCTCATGTAAGACTTTTAGGTGGATTTTTTTCTCTTTAATTTCCTTGGTGATTTTAAACCAGCTGCTACTTATTTAACTAGTCTATACCTTCTATCCTTGTGATATACATGTTCTTGCTTCAGTTTTTATATTTTTCTGTTCTTCTAAAATAAATTTTCTTTTATAGTCTCCACTGAGACCTTTCTCTTATACATCCCCAAATATTTGGTAAACTGTACGTGTCCTAGGTTGTAAGTGCCATAAAAACAAAGCATGACCTTAGCTTAACAGTAGCATTTATATAGAAAGTGGATTAGTATGGTATTAAGAAGGTTTTTCTTTTTTTGAGACAGAGTCTCGCTCTGTCGCCAGGCTGGAATGCAATGGTGCAATCACAGTTCACTGCAACTGCCGCCTCCCAGTCAAGTGATTCTCCTGCCTCAGCCTCCCAAGTAGCTGGGACTCCAGGCATGCGCCACCATGTCCTGCTAATTTTTTTGTATTTTCAGTAGAGACGGAATTTCACTGTGTTGGCCAGGATGGTCTCGATTTCTTGACCTCATGATCCGCCCGCCTTGGCCTCCCAAAAAATCCCCTGTTGGGATTACAGGCATGAGCCTTTTTGTTCATTATGTTGTAACATTATTAACTCATGCCAAGCCTGTTTTTAAGATTATAAAATGGTTTTCTAAAGCCAAATTTTAATTAACTGTACCTGAAGAGCAGCTTGAAAACATGGCTCTTAAGTATGCAGGAGAACAGACATTCAGGGCAGGGTACTTTCCATTAGGAACTGCCTAATAAGTCTAGGAAAAATCTTTATTGCTAAGAGGACTTAGCAGTATATATATTCAGGGTAGAGAAGTATAATGAAGAAAAACAGTGCCCTTGTATTCCGATAGCGTGTGGCATGCAGGTTTCTGCCAGTTAGATGTGATTGTTAAATTACAGTCTTGAAAAATGTTGTATTCTCCCCCTGTGTTTACAGGCAGAAATTGATATTACCTTGAGAAGAGTCACATGGTATTTTCACAAAAGAGCCAAAATAAAGAACCTTCAGTTCTACATAATTAGGCACATTTCTAATATGCCTTTTGTTCTAAGGGGACAACATATGAAAGTAGCAGTAGGATTTTTTTTTCTATAATCCAGGATTATCCTGAACATCACCAGTGATACCAAAGTATCAAACCAAATCTGGGGTTTGATCTCACCCAGAGCACGCTTGGCATGTTCTCAGCAGAAAACACCTTCTCTATATATCTCCTTTTACCTGTTTCCTGTAAAATGGGAAGGAATAATGAGTGGACTACTTTATTATCAGTTAAACTAGATTTGGGCCAGGATGTGGTGACTAAGGCCTGTAATTTCAGCAGTTTGGGAGGCCAAGGTGTGAGGATCATTTGAGCCCAGGAGTTCAAGACCAGCCTGGGCAACAGTGAGACCCCCCTCTCTACAAAAAATTAGCCATGTGTCTTTGGTCCCAGCTCTACAGGAAGCTGAGGCAGGGATATCGCTTGAGCCCAGACCCTGTTTGTGCCACTGCACTCCAGCCTGGGGGACAGAGCGAGACTCTGTCTAAGAAAACTAGATTTAAAATGAAAAATCATCCAGCAGAATGCTCAGTATTACTAAAATCTGTGAGTTTATAGATATCTTCTAGTTTATTTAATAAAAGCTATTTTATTATAACAACTAATGTATGGATTTTTTTTATTAGATGGAAACAATATGAAGCATATGTACAAGCTTTGGAGGGCAAGTACACAGATCTTAACTGTAAGTTTGAGTTTTAGCTTCTTAAAGACTGAATAATCTCCTTTTGATCGTTGTTACAATCAAAAGGGTAATTGGTTTTATTAAAGCAAATCTAATTTTTCTGGTGTTTTATTATAAGAATTATACATAGGCACTTTTGGGTGCAAGAAAATATAAAGGTGAATGAGACATAGTCATTGGAGAAGACAGACATGTAATACTCATGTAATGGCGTGACTTAGCAAAATTATATGCAAGGTTCTGAGTATAGATGCAGTAACTCAGAACTACTTGAAACTTTTCTTACTTGTCCCTAACCCCTTCTACATAGGAATTTGACTTGAAGCGTGAGTTACTAGTCTAGAAGAGAAATAAATAGAAGCAACTAGTAACAGATTTATGACAGGTTTAATTAATATGTATAACTTAATTATATGTAATATATATTTACAAATTTTTTAAATCTGAAAATAACAAGGTTTATCATTTTAAGCCATTTTAGTCTCAGTTTTTACTGTTTGAACCACATACTATTTGTTGAGTATAAAAACCAATATATATTGTTTTCTAACTTCAGAAGGGTTAATACCCTGAAATTCTAATTTTACGTGACTGTGTTATCCAAAGAAATCATGAACATTATGAACGATTAAGGCTGGGCACAGTGGCTCACACCTGTAATCCCAGCGCTTTGAGAGGCCAAGTTGGGAAGATACTTGAGCCCAGGAGTTTGAGACCAGCATAGGCAGCATAGGGAGACCTTGTCTCTACCAAAAAAAAAAAATGAGTCAGGAGGATCACTTGAGCCTGAGAGGTCAAGGCTACAGTGAGCCCTGATTGTGCCACTGGACTCCTGTCTGGGTAACAGAATAAGATCCTGCCTCAAAGTTTAAAATACAAATTGTCCAGCAGTTACTATCATATTATTTATTTGTTTGTTTATTTGAGACAATCTCGCACCATCGCCCAGACTGGAATGCAGTGGCACAATTTGGACTTAGTGCAACCTCCACCTCCCAGATTCAAGTCATTCGCCTGCCCCAGCCTCCCAAGTGGCTGGGATTACAGACATGCACCACCACGACCGGCTAATTTTGTATTTTTAGTAGAGATGGTGTTTCACCATGTTGGTCAGGCTGGTCTCAAACTCCTGGCCTCAGGTGATCTACTCGCCTCGCCTCCCAAAGTGCTGGGATTACGGGCGTGAGCCACTGCCCAGACAGCATTTTTATATTAAATAGGTTAAAACATACTCATCAGGATTTTGTGCATACTGTAAAACACAAATGTTTCCTGTCTTCTGTTGGGAATAGATGAAACTATGAAAACATAATTCAGTTGGTAGTCATGGAGCACTATGACACCTTGCCTTCTAAATGAACTGTCATGATCAGGAAATAATTTGCTTGTTATAAAAGTAGTTAGGATGGAAATTAAAGACTTGATTAATTTTTTGACCCTAGTTTTTAATTGTTCTTGATAGAAGTATTTGAACTTGATCTTAAAATTATATTTATAATTATTTTTTAAATCATCAGCTAATGACGTAACTGGCCTAAGAGAATCTGAAGAAAAACTAAAGCAACAACAGCAGGAGTCTGCACGCAGGGAAAACATCCTTGTAATGCGACTAGCAACCAAGGAACAAGAGATGCAAGAGTGTACTGTAAGTATTTCAAGTTAAATAAATGTCTTTACTTGAGGAAATGGTTTTTAGTCTGCCTTATTGCTTGTTAATTTTAAACACCTAATACTAAATATAAGAGGTTTTTTTTTATAGGTATGTACACTTAGAGCTTTAAGTATACCAGGTGAAAAATTTTGATAATGTCTCTTCATTTAAATGAATTTTTTTTTTTGGCCAAGAAGGCAATAGTTTTAAGTTGTGTTTTGAAATTTTCATGCATTGTGAATATTAGTTCATCAATTCCAGACATTTTTCAGATATCTTGGTGTCTGAGGGTATAATCAATAAAAGAGCATTTGCTCCTTATTGCTTTACTTTCACTGGCTAGGAAAGCCATCTGATGACTTTACCTCTGCTCTCTTGTCCCCTCTATGTATAGAACTGTTTTTCCTATTGTCAGCAACTTCTTCAACGTGTCCTTTTTAATTGTTAGAACTTTGATGTGTACTGTGTAGTATTTACTATGTCTATGTAGATCTGAAATCTAGTGACATAATTGATCATCCAGCTCTGGTAGTTTAGACTCAATCTTACAGTGTAATTATACAAAATAATTAGAGGCAGCTGTATCCTTGTTTCTGATTTTAAAATCTGAATGTTTCTTCAATTCTTTGGGTACTCTCCATTCATTTGATACATATTAAAGTCTTCTAATGTGTTATTAAAATCTTCTAAGGTAGTATTCTGATCACTGGAGACACCAAAAATCTATGGGCACAGTCCTTTTCCTGTTTGTTTTACCAATAGAGTGTTCCTTAAGGCTCAGTCACAGTCCTTTTACTTCCTGTACAGAGATTGTTTAAATTTCCACAAAAGTACCTATTTACTCTTTCACTTTTTACTAAATGACTTCTTTACATTTTGCTTTGCTAAAGGCTGGCTTTTATCATTTTCTTTCCTTTTTTTGTTTGTTTGTTTGTTTGTTTTTGTTGTTGTTGTTGTTTTAGTTTGTTGTTATTTCCCCCTTTTCTTGAGACAGGGCCTCTCATCCAGGCTGAAGTGCAGTGGTATAATCATAGCTCACTTCAGCTTCCTGAGTAACTGGGACTATAGTCACGTGCCACCAAGCCCAGCTAATTTTTTAATTTTTGTAGAGATGGGGTCTTCCCTATGTTGCCCAGGTTGAACTCCTGGCCTTTGGCAATCCTTACTCCTTGGCCTCCCAAAACTGTTGGGATTATAGGTGTGAGCCATCACACCTGGCCCATTATTATTTTCTCTACCTTCTCACCACATTTTGTTCTTTTGTTTCTGTCAGTTTTGTTGTAATTCTCACACCACTGATACTTTTTTCTCCAGTTACTTATGAATGTTTTTTAACAAATTTCCCTTTTCACGAAAAATGGATCTTACCTTTAGACTGCTAGCACTTGGGAGATAGATTGTGAATAGATGGTGTTGATGGTAATATCTCATAGGATCGGAATGTCTTGAATTCCTTTTCTGTTCCAGATTCCTACTCTTGACATCATAGTTGATGTGTGCACATCACAATGTGTGTGCTATTCATGCACCTCTGATTCTCCATCTGTCCTATATACACTGGCGGTTTTGATCATATTATGCCTGGTCAGGGCCTTTGGTGATACCTCATCACTCTTGTCTGCTTGACCTGGAATTTTTTTTTTTTTTTTTTTGAGACGGAGTCTCGCTCTGTCGCCCAGGCTGGAGTGCAGTGGCTGGATCTCAGCTCACTGCAAGCTCCGCCTCCCGGGTTCACGCCATTCTCTTGCCTCAGCCTCTCGAGCAGCTGGGACTACAGGCGCCCGCCACCTCGCCCGGATAGTTTTTTGTATTTTTTAGTAGAGACGGGGTTTCACTGTGTTAGCCAGGATGGTCTCGATCTCCTGACCTCGTGATCCGTCCGTCTCGGCCTCCCAAAGTGCTGGGATTACAGGCTTGAGCCACCGCGCCCTACCGACCTGGATTTTAAGGTTATTTCAACTATAATGGAACCTAACCTTTTCCAGGTTTTTTTTTTTTTTTTTTTTTTTTTTTTTTTTTTTTTTTTTTTTTTTTTTTTTTAAACAGCTGTCACCTGCACAGGCCCGCTGAACAACTTCCTATTCTTCCAGTTATAATACAAGTGAGGTTTTGCAGACAGGGCAGGGCAGCAGGAGCAAAATCACAAGGAAAGGGCAAGATTATATATGGCAGATGAGGATGAAGTTTCAGGTGAGAGTGAAAAAACATGAGATCAGGCCTGGAATCTTGGGTATTCTAGAAGAGAGGGGGCCACCGAAGAATTTTTGAGCAAGAGATATATGTGAGGGTCAGATTTAGATTCACATTTTAGGTAGATCACTCTGGCTTGAGTATGAAAGATGGATTTGAGTGGAACAGGACTTTAAGCAAGAAAACCAATTGTGAGGCTATTAAAATAGTCCAGATGAAATAAATTAAGCCACTGGTAATAGCAGACAGGACAGAGTAGGTGTTTTGGAGGCACAGTCAATAGGAATTGTTTAGTTTGGATGCTGTTGTGGAAGGAACGAAAAAAATCTAGGGAGGAATCACAGTTTCAGGCTTGTCTCGTTTGAGTAACAATGCACTAGGATAGAGCCTACAAAGATCAAATTTTAAAAGAAGAGTAGAGTGTGGTGTTAGGAAAACTGAGGAAATCCAGCATTCCCTCCTCCTTCCCCAAAATATAAAGTGATTAAAACAAAGGCGTACATAAAGTTCTGTACAATACGAATTTAAAATTGTTCGTTATATTTGGCAGTTAAGAGGTTGTTGGCCAAGGATGCCAAAAGATTGGATACCCCTGCTCTAGAGGAACTGTCAAGTGGGAAGTGAGAGAAACTGAATTTAAAGAGTAGAAAGAATGGGAGTTGTGTACTTTAGGAGGTAGGAGGGAATAGGTTAAGCAAATGGTTGAAAGGATTGGCCCTGAGAAGGAGGGTTTCTTACCCTCTTGCGAGTGAAAAATAGTGGAAAGGTTTGTATTAGGTACTTATCCTTTAAAACAGAGCTGCTGCTTTTACTCTTGGTGTTTCAAATTAAGCTAAGCTTAGAAAAAATAAAATACATCCTCAGGAGTCAATTTGTTTTTGTAGATCTTTTGTTTGTCCAGCATACTAAATCATCTATTTGATTGTCTATGTGCAGTCTTTGCCAAGTACATCAGTAGTCAGTTTTCAGTGTAAGGCATAAGTTAGCCACATAGTTACTATAGTCTTAACTATATACTGTGTTCTTAACTATATGCTATTTTGTTGGTAAGTAAAATCTATCATTTTTGTTCACCTCAGTGGTATTTCTATTTTTCATTTAGTCTTTTGCCAACCAACGCAAAATAGATTTAGGAATAAAACTAACTTTGAAAACACTTTACTCAGTGTTCTCTTCTGTAGAACATGGAATTTATTCTAGTCAGATTCACCTCTCTTTTCATGATTGAAAGTGTTGACTATTGGGTCTTTGTAAAGCTAAATAGTAACTGAGTCTCAGTCAGTGTTGTAGACTGTTTTAATCAGTCTTGTCAGTACGTTGAGTGCACTGTAAGTCATGGTTTATTCTTGCTCTCTTATCTTAGCAGCTGGTTTCACATTGACTATGCAGTTGTAGTAGATTTTTGCTCAATGGAACAAATATATTCCCAAACTACTTAGTATATTTGTTCCTTTACTAAATTTATATTAGAAAATTTCAACTGTAATTCTGTTTAAGCCTTAGTATGGAGTTAGATCTTGGGCCGGATCTACTTTGAGTATGAAGAAAATGATGAATTTAATGCTAATAACTATATTTCATATTTTAGAAATGTATTTTTAGTGTTCTAGTAAATAGTACAACTGAAGTCGAAATTGAAGGTTTCATATGTAAGTAGAAGGGTTCCAGTGTGATGGAAAAAGCTCTAGACTGGGAATCAGAAGGCTGGAGAACTAGAGTTCTTGTCCCAGCTATGGCACTGAACTAAACAGTTGGGTTATTTAATCTCAAAATAAGCAGTTTGGGTTAGGTTAGTTACTTTCCAGCTTTACAATTCTATGATTCAAATCTATTCAGAGGGAGAAAAAATACGAATTATACTTTATTTTGGCTTAAGGTCCTATAGAGTTTTGCTTTTATAAAGTTGTAACGGCAACTCTTGTAGCTATGAGTACTGTATATTTTTTCCTTTAGAAATGCAAATATGTATTTTAAGTTATAATCTTTCACCTGATGTATTTTTAGGGGACTTTACATAGAATAATTTCCATAGGCAAAAAATTAAAATCAGCAAACCATAAGACTTCATTAACTCTTAGGTAATTAATATTTTAAACTTTGCTTTTTTCCAGTGGGTTGTCAGCATTTTTAGTAAATATAATGTTGATTTTTGTTTGTTTTTTTGGTAATTTTGGATTGTAAAGTAAAATGTACGTAGCCCCTTTAAGATCCAGATTTGGAGATGTAATCAAATGGCCTCAATTCCTAAATGAATAATCTTAGTTATTTTTTAATTGACAAATAATTTTTGTACATATTCAAGGACTACTAGTGATGTTTCAATACATACAATGTATAGTGATCAGATTGGGGTAATTTGCATATTCATCATCAAATAGTTTTTAATCTGTACTTTTTCGAGAAAGTTTTAAGATTTTTCTAGAGAATTTCAGGATCAAAGAGAGGAGGACTTAATGAAAGAGTTGGTAAATCAAGTGAATGGAGGGAGTTTTCCCCACTTTCTTATGTATGTTTCCTTTGATTTGGTTGTAATTGTTTCTTTTGCTTTGCACAGACTCAAATCCAGTACCTCAAGCAAGTCCAGCAGCCGAGCGTTGCCCAACTGAGATCAACAATGGTAGACCCAGCGATCAACTTGTTTTTCCTAAAAATGAAAGGTGAACTGGAACAGACTAAAGACAAACTGGAACAAGCCCAAAATGAACTGAGTGCCTGGAAGTTTACGCCTGATAGGTAAACAAATCATACTCCCCAGTCAAGACTTCCCTGACAGTCCCACTACGAGAAAGCTGTGGTGGGACAGCCAAGTACTCGTTTCCACACCAAGACTCAGACTTTTTGAGCCAAAAAAAGCCACATTCTTACACTGTCCAGCTTGTAATGGTTAATGTAAAACTTACCAGATGAACCTTGTGTTTCAGCTTTTTTCTTTTCCCCTTCCCCTTGCTTCAGAGGCCTGATGGCGTCGGACTATTCCGAAGAAGTGGCCACCTCCGAAAAATTCCCCTTCTAGAACATGTAGACACTTGAGAAATGTTTCTGTTTGAAGAAAATAGAGGGAGAAACAGAAGTCTTAAGTCTGTGGCACACTGTGTCTTCAGACAGTTTGAAGGAATGAAAACCTAGAGATTTTAAATCATGAATTGAACATGTAAAATTCCAGTAAAATGTAAAAATGGAATATGCATCGCTCTTAACCTTGAGCATAGTGACTTAGAGACACTGTGTATCAGTTTTGCCAATAAGACTGTGGACTTCATGATTGTTGTTGAACTTCTGGGTCAAAACTCAAATGAGGTGAATTTTGCCTTTAAAGGGTTTATTTGCTGAGAACCAACTTTTAATAGTCACGAGAGAATCAAATAATAGATGTCCGTACAAGTAGCGCATATATTTAACCATTTAGTTTGGGGCTCTATATTACTTGCTTGAGCCTTAATCAATGTGGTTTTATTCAATGGTTTGTTCTTTCAATGGTTGCAAAACTGTAGATTATCTTACTGAGGACTGTACAAACGTGAAGGTGTGGTATCAAACTTCAGGTTGAAACTGTTTGAAGCATTATAAACATTCATTTCACAACTAGATTGTATAAGGATATTAGCTGTGATGAGACTCACTGCATTATTTTTTTAGTGAATTTTATGAAATCCCCATTCCATTCAACAGGCACATGTTTAAAAGAGCATTGTCGTTGGTGTTAATGGGGGAATGTGTTCCTTCATTGTATTTGGGCCTTTTGTATTGCACTCTTGATATTAAATTAAATGTGCCTTGAAATAGTTGGTTTTTTTTTTTTAAGTTCAAAGAATATTATGATGATTTTGTTGTACTCTAACATTTTAATTTGGGGGGGGCCTGTGGAGAGCAGATTCATTTTGGAAATACTGTTGCTGTGCTCTTCAAAGTGAAGGAAAAGGCGCTGTGCCTCATTTTTAAAAGACCTACATAAAAGACAAGGAGACTTGACACTGGTTACTTTTATGACACTTTGTCCCAGGGTACTGCAGTAGAAAGTAATTGCGGGACAGCTTCACAGGGTGCCTGCCAGAAGATAATGTGTTGGAACTGTGGGCTGGCCTAAGTAAGACATTTTGTGAATTGAAAAAAGGTATAGTGATCATTTCTAGCAAATTCATTTAATCATTTAGATAAATGAGGCATTATTTTCTTCATGCTTCCATCCAATCCTGGAGGTGAATTTTTTCCGTCAGATCATTCTATAAGTCACCAATTCAAATTTTCGCTTGGTGATAATGGAGTCTAAGATGAGTGGAAGATAAATGTTCCAGCTTGTCCCAACGTTTAAGTGCAGTTTTAACAAGGGTGACTTAAGTTCTCTCTTAATCATTCAAATCAATTGTAAGTATCTTATATGTTTGTGCTTTAGGGAACTGATTGTGGGGCAGAGGGTGGGTTGAAGAAGTGATTTGTGTGACTTTTCAGCAAGAAACCTGCTTCTAAAATTCTCACTATTTGTGAGGGTTGGAGGGTAAGTAACCGGATCTGTTTGAAATTAGCTTATGTGCTTGCATTAACGCTTTTGTATATATTTTATGCCATTTTAAGTTCACAGTAGAAATGACCTAAGTATCTTTTTAGTAGAATTTAGTAGAAAAGTAATTCACAAAATGTATTATTAACATGTACTCAAATTTAGCAGGCATCTTTCTTTGCCACTTAGATAACAGTCATGAGTTCTATGGGTTTTTTTCTTGTCATTGTTAAAATTTTCTCTTTTAATAATAAGATAATACATGCTTGTATATAAAATTGAAATACTATAGAGAAAGGGGGAGATGAAAAGTGAGTGTCACTCTCTGATGTTACCTGGATATCCTCATTCTGTTCTCCAGGAGCAGTAACTGCTATTACTTTTTCTTGGGTATCATCAAGATAATTTCTATGCATATACAGTCATTTTATGTATATTATTTTAAACAAATATGATCATACCATAAACACAGATGAGTTGCACCTTTTTTTTTAGTTGGTCTCTTCGGCATTTTTCCATTTTTTAGTGTATCTAGACTACTACATTTTTAATGGTTGTATAGTGTATTTCCATTATATTAAGGAATCATAATTTATTTAAATCACTTATAAATTGATTTTTTTCTGTAAAATTGGCTGTAAGCCAGAGTATATCAGGTACTATAAATACATCACTAATTTGAAACAAATAATGGCTCAGGCAATCCCCTGTCTGGAATATTTCCAGTAGTGGAATGGGTTTTGCTTTGGGGTGTGTGCGTGCGCACGTGTGTCTTCGCTTTACTGTTTTTTTGTTTTAATTTTGAGGAAGAAAGATTCTCAGAAATAACCTGTCCAGTTCAGTTAAAATATTTCATTCATGTGAGAATGCACACATTTTAGAGTGTTTAGAGGTATATCTTTCAAAGTGCTTTCTATTATGTGTGTGGGTTAATCGATTTTAGGAATGGGTTTTTTTGTTTGTAATTTTAAAAAATTATTTCAGAAACAATTACTTGTAATTAAATTATTTTTTGAAAACTGTGGTTTTGTTAAAATTTATTTCAGTAATCACTAGTTTTAAATGTGATACGATTATCTTAGCTTAGACACTTATTTATTAAAAGGTATGACTTTTTAAACAAACCCCTTTTTTGCATTAGAATTTGTGACATTTTTATATGGGGTTAAGTCAGGTCACAAATTAATGTCTCTTATAGTTGCCTTTTTCCACTCTTTAAAATTCATACAATAAGAAGGTTAGTTGTAAACACCAATGAAATAGATATACTTTGCAAGAAGATAGTTTTGAGCGCATAGGCAGGAATTCCATCGCTTTTGACAGTCTTGCATATCTCTCATTTTCCCACTGTTTAATTTCTAAGTGGATGTTCAGTGGAGGCTAACGCCTGAGAGTGCTTATGGGAAATGGTGGAAATCTGGAGCTACAGTAGCAACGAACAAGAACACCAGCTAATAATGTTGTAAAAGAATAAAGCCTTTACCACATGCTCACTGGTGACCTTTCACCCTTCGGCTCCTCTGAGCAGTAGTAACCCAGGTTTAACTCTTCACATATTTTCTGGAAGAAAGCTTAATTCCAAACTTCCTTGAATTACATTAGGTTAGAAAACATGCGGCCAGGCACGGTGGCTCATACCTGTAATCCCAACACTTTGGAAGGCTGAGGTAGGCAGATCACTTGAGCTTAGGAGTTTGAGACCAGCCTGGGCAACATGGTGAAACCCCATTTCTACTAAAACTCCAAAAATTAGCTGGGGGTGCTGGTGCACACCTACCGTCCCAGCTACTCTTGAGGCTGAGGTGGGAGGATCATCTGAGCCTGGGGACATCAAGGCTCCAGTGAGCTGAGATCACGTCACTGCACTCCAGTCTGGGCAACACAGTGAGACCCCCATCTCAAAAAAAAAAAAATTATGCTGTAGGTGAAAGAACCGTGCAACACTTCTTCAAAGACTGACAACTATTTACAAAATGCTCTCATTTTTAAAGTTCTAAGGCATACTGAAGTAGTGTGTCAGGCAAGTGAAAGCCTCACTAGGAGAAGGAAAGACTAGAAGTTAAAAAACATTTTAACCAATAAGGTCATTCTGAACTTACCCCAAGGACAAGAATGTCACACTGTCTTTATCCAAGTCTCAAAGGTAAATATCACAATTATTAGATCCCTTTAAAAGTGATCATTTTTTTCTTTTTGTCTTCATAAATAATTACAAGAACAAGCAGATAATTTCTCCTTTTATTGCTGAGGCTAAAGAAAAGCAGTAAAATTTTATTGGGAAACATTTGAGCTTTTCATTACATATTTGCAATTGCTCTGTGCACATAGGTTCCACTAGCATTTGGAACTAATTTGTGGAAAGTGTGACACTCCTTGATTGGCAGATATTTGCATGTTTGAATTGTGGTACGTGACCACTGGTCTTATTTTTGTGTCAAAAGGATGATCTTTTCTGTTAATAAAGTCTTAAAAAAAAAAAAACTTAATTGTTGAATGTGCCTCAATTAATATAATAGATATATTCTTGAGAGTTATGGAAGATGGATGTACCATAAACTTCCCTCTTTCCTCCTTTTTTTGAGACAGGGTCCCTGTTTCCCAGGCTGGAATGCAGTGGCATGGTCACAGCATCAACCACTTGGGCTTAAGCAATCCTCTCACCTCAGCCGTTCCAGAGGCTGGCACTACAAGCATGTGTGCCTGGCTAATTTTTACAAAAAAATTTGTGTAGAGTTGGGGTCTCACTATGTTGCCCATGCTGGAGGACTTCCTGTTAAGGAAAATCCTTATTAAATGTTTTTTTCTAGCAAGAATAAATATACTCTCATGCATTTTTATTTGTAGGTACTGATTTTCATAGAGAAGCATTTGTGATTGATGTTGCATGTACCTTTTCAAGAACTTTTCTGATAAAGCACTAGATTCCTTAGTGTAATAATACTGGTATAGCCAAGGTGTGTGTTAAAACTGGCTCTGTTTCCATTTCAGATGATAATTTGAGATGAAAACAGATGGATATCAGAATTGATTATTGATATAATAGAAATAAGGTGTAGCTGTTTGGGCACTTTTTGTTTAGGGTTTATTTTTGCTGCTGTGTTGGCAAAATACTGAAATGCAGAAGATGGATGTGTCCCAGAAAAGAAGATGGTAATTATGGGGAAGCATCTGCTGTGATATAGTTATGTTTGTATGTGTGACATCTATCACTGTAATAATTGTAAGCAAAGACAGAGTTTTGTCTTCATTTTGTGATGGATGGCTCTTTCCTTTGTAGCCAAACAGGGAAAAAGTTAATGGCGAAGTGTCGAATGCTTATCCAGGAGAATCAAGAGCTTGGAAGGCAGCTGTCCCAGGGACGTATTGCACAACTTGAAGCAGAGTTGGCTTTACAGAAGAAATATAGTGAGGAGCTTAAAAGCAGTCAGGATGGTAAGGGTTTTTTTGTTGTGTTTTGTTTTGTTGAAAAGTTCTCTTAACTTTGCATTGGCTTTTTAAAACTGCCAGTCATGAATATTATAGGTTAGATTCTCTACATTGTTAACCTCTGCCTGTGATTGTATATTATTGTGAATGAAACATTTTTAGTTGAGTCAGCAAAAAAAGCCATATAATTTTATTGTGTTTATCCCCACCCTCCTAATTCTTTATTGTTCAAAATTTCTTAAGTTGTTGTTTTTAGTCGGGGGTAGGAGTTGGTAAAAGATAAAAGGGTGTTGTATTATTTAACAAGATGGACAAATTTGTATTCAGTGTTTGAAAGGAAGATATATCTTTAACCATTTCTCATTAATTGTGAATCTTAGAAACATGGGCAGTTTTCAGCGATCTGAAAGTAATATAGTTGATTGTATCTGTGAAGATTTTATTAGTGAATAAGAGATTTAATCTTTAAATTTGCTGAGATAAACAAAACTTGTCAGCCTCCATCCTTTTTAGTGCAAGTGTAGCTGCATCTCTCCTGTTTCTCCTCTCTGTTTTTGTTTTTTTTTTTAAGACAGGGTCTCACTCTGTTACCCAGGCTGGAGTGCAGTGGCGTGACCTCAGCTCACTGCTACCTCCACCTCCCGGGTTCAAGCAATCCTCCTGCCTCAGCCTCCCGAGTAGCTGGGATTACAGGCGCTCGCCACTGCTCCCGGCTAATTTTTTGTATTTTTAGTAGAGATGGGGTTTCACTATGTTGGCCAGGATGGTCTCGAACTCCTGACCTCAGGTGGTCTGCCCGCCTCGGTCTCCCAAAGTGCTGGGATTACAGGCGTGAGCCACCACACCCAGCCTCTCCTCTCTGTAAGGTGCATTATTAGTAAGGAAAATATCCAGATTCTTTGAAATTTTAAATTGAAAATTAGTGTGTGAGGTTAATTGCAAAGATGATCAGTAGCCAAGTAATTTCTTCTAAACCACCTACCTTTTCAATCTTCAGGAATTATTTCCTGTGACTTTTGTCCTTACATGTATAACAGTCCTTGGTTGAGAACATGGGCCTCTTTGGAGTGTTATAGAGGACCACGCTGTCCTTAAGGGCCAGAGCTGCATGGAACTAAGGCACTGGGTCAGGAATATGGGGACTGGCCATAGTGGGTCCATAGGTAAACGTGAGTCAAACTTTGGGGCTGTAATCAGGCGTATGGCAAGATGGACTAAAACAATTTTAACTTGGTTGCTTAATACAGTTGCCCTCGGTATCCATGGTGGATTGGTATCAGGACCTCCCACAGATAAGCTCCTCATATAAAATGATGTCGTATTTACATACAAACCGATGTACATCTTCCCATTTGAGCCATCTCTAAATTACTTAACAGTACCTAATGCAATCTAAATGCTATGAAAATAGTTGTTTTACTGTATTGTTTTGGGGATAATGACAAGAAAAAAAAAATCTGTACATGTTCAGTATAGACCGAGTTTTTTCTTCCTTGAATATTTTCCTTCTACAGTTGGTTGAATCCATGGGTGCATGTGGAGGGCCAACTGTGTATTATTTTAAGTATCTGACTTCCCTCAAAACAAACTCAGTCATATTTTAAGATTCCAAGCAAAATTGTTAAATGTAGTGCGATTTTAGAATTGTATTTGTTGGCCAGGCGCAGTGGCTCAACCCTGTAATCCCAGCACTTGGGGAGGCCGAGATGCCGATCATGAAGTCAGAAAGATCGGGGGCGCGGCGGCGAGACCATCCTGGCCTAACATGTAAACCCTTGTCTCTACTAAAAAAACCAAAAACAAGCCGCCCGAAGGTGGCGGGCCGGCCTGAGTCCAGCTACCTCGGGAGGCTGAGGCAACGAGAACTGCGAAACCTGGGGAGCGAGCCCTTGCAGTGAGCGAGATCGCCCACTCACCTCCTAGCCGGGCGACAAGACAGACTTCCGTCCAAAGAAAAAAAAAGAATTGTATTTGTACTTAGCCATTTATTACTCCTTGCTGCGGCAAGGCACTAAAGAACATTTCAATGTTATAAGCCCGATTAAATTGGTTTGACCTCTCCTTTACAAGAACTGATACTTCATCATCAAGCCTGAGAAAAGTAGAGGTATGCAGAGACCATTCTCCGTTCTGCAAGCAGCCAGCGAAGGAGACACCCACAATTGGCCAGTAACCAGCACAGCCAGCTCATCCTCTGCCCAAGTACCAGCAGGACTACAGCCTTCCTAACTGTAAACAGTGGAAGGCAAAAAACTGCAGTCCCCCGTCTGACAACGACCAAGTATGGTAGCTCTCCCGCCAGAACCGTCTGGGTCCGGATTCCACAGGGAGGGCAACACAACCGAAATGACCGTTCCTTCTTCCTCAGGAAAGGATAGGCCCAACAGCTCAGACGGAAGAACAGGCAAGAGGTAGGGTTACGTTAATCAACCAGTGCGGAGAAAGTAACCCCACGGGCCAGTGAAAACCACTCTCACACACCAAGGCAAATGACCAACTCCAATCATACCCCTCAAAGAGAAAACCACTGAGTGGGAAAGAACCCGAACGTGGCTCCCCCACCGTTCAGAAATGGCGTGACTTCAAAA